GGCTGCCCCGGGTTCAATTCCCAGCATCCCATGTGGTCCCCTGAGCATTGCCATGAGTAATTCTTGAATGCAAAGCCAGGAGTAACCCCTGTGAATCACTGGGTGTGACCCAAAAAGCAAAAACATCAAGTATCTAGAAGTCAGCTTAACAAAAGACGTGGGAAATCTATACCATGATAACTTTAAATCACTTAAGAAAAAGATAGGGAAGATCTCAGGAAGTGGAAAAATATCTCATACTCATGGATGGGAAGAATCAATATTATTATAATGACTATCCTACCTAAACTTTTATATAGATTCATTGCATTCCCAATCCAAAGTCAGATGAAATTATTTTGGGATCTTGAAAAATCAATAATAAAGTTTGTATGGAATCAGAAGCACAGCAAATAAACAGAACCATACTGAAAAATAAGAAATTAGGAGGTATTTCATTACTGAATTTGTAACTATATTATAAAGCTATAGTGATCAAAACTGCATGGTGCTCTAATAAAGATAGACCCTCTGATCAATGGGTCAGAATCGAATATCCCATGAAAAAAACCTCATATATGTGAGTAGATAATTTTTGATAAAGTAGCTGAGAACATGAAATGAAGTAAAGATAGCATCTACAACAAATATGCTGGGAAAATTGGATGACTACACGTAAGAAACTAGAGCTCGATCCATATCTTACACTTCACTCAACAGTCAATTCAATGGGGATGGCAGATCTTGACATCCCACCAGAATCTATAAAATTCATTGAGGAAAATATAGACAGAACTCTTCAAGATTTGAACCTCAAAGGTGCCTTTAATAATCTGATACCACTGACAAAGGGAACAAAATCAAAAACAAACAAATGGAGCTACATAAGTTAAAGTACTTCTGAGTGGAAAAACAAAACAAACAAACAAAAACAAAACAAAAAAGAAAACCCATGAGCTAAAAACTGAAAGAGAGCTAACTGAATGGGGAAAAAAATATTTGCAGTCAACACATCAGATAAAGTTTGGATATCTGGGATACTCACAAAGATCAATAAAAATAAATTCAAAAACTCTATTAACAGGGGCTGGAGCAATAGCACAGTGGGTAGGGTGTTTGCTTTCCACCCGGCCAACCCAGGTTCGATTCCCAGCATCCCATATGTCCCCTGAGCATCGCCAGGAGTAATTCCTGAGTGCAGAACCAGGAGTGACCCCTGTGCATTGCCGGGTGTGACCCAAAAAGCAAAAAAAAAAAAGAACTCTATTAACAAATGAGGAGAGGAAATGATTAGACACTTCTCAGAGGAAGTCAGGGGTATGGCCAGTAGGCACATGAAAAAGTGCTTAGCATCACTTATCAGAGAAATTCTAATCAAGACAACAATGAAATACCATTTTACACCAGTGAAATGGCACACAACAAAAACAGTAGGAACAATCTGTGTTGGCAGGGATGTGATGAAAAAGTTCTTCTTCACTGCTAGTGGGAATGTTCTCTGGTACAACCTTTGTGGAAAACAGTCTGGAGAGTTCTCAGTAAACTTAGAATTGAACTGCCATGTGGACAGCAATTTTGCTTTTGGGCATTTATCCTCAGGACATAAAAACACTCTTTCAAAAGGATATATGCACACTATTATTCATTGTTGCACTGAATACAATAGCTAACATATGAAATCAACCTAGGTATCCAATGACAGATGAGTGGATTGTGAAGATATGTGTGTGTCTGTGTTTGTATGTCTACGTGTTTATATACACACACTACCAATACATGTGTGGAATACTATGCAGCTGCAAGGAATAATGAAATCATGCAATTTGCTGCAACATGTTTGAAACTTGAAGATATGATGTTGAGTGAATTAAGCAAGAAGAAAGAGAATCACAGGATGCACTCACTTATCTGTTGTCTATAGACGACTAGATGAGGAAATGTCTTGAAGTTAAAGGACGAAGCTTAGATCATCTTCAACCCCAGTGTTTTCAGAGAGAGAAAGAAAGATATCATGGAGGGAAGAAGAGAACAAGATGGTTTGGGTTAACAAGCATGATGGCTTCAGTTATACCAGCGATATGGTTGAAAGGTATAGCCATGAACCCAAAACACATATTCAACAGAACTAAAAACGAGATCTAACTGTCAATCACTAACACTTTGTAGTGTACCTGTTAAGTTGACAGATGGGGGTAGAGGGGGGGTTGGGATGGTGAATGAATCTGGGAACACTGGTGGAAGGAAGTTAACACTGGTGAAGGGATCGGTATTGAATTATTGTATGCCTAAAAACTATCAGTAACCTTGTAAATCATGGCTCTTTAATAAAAAAAATTTAAATGAACCACTATACAATTTTTTGGCCAATATCTTACCCTAGTCCACCTTTTATGAAGTTATTTATATTGGTAATAGAGGTTTCAGCATTAAGAAACATAGCCATAGAAGTTTCTTTCTCCTCTTTAGTCTCTTTCAATTTTTGTAAAGAACTTTATACTGGGACAACCTTCGTAAAAGTTTGTATAGTACTGTATCAGTTATATACACATCCATTCTAATAAGAAAAGAGAGGCTTGTGCATGGTTTAGGTGTTTTATATTTTTAGGCAAAAGCTCTGTGGGTAGATCCAGATTCTCGTAATTCTATAATTCCCAGAAAAAATCTATAAGCAATATAAAACAATGAGCATGAAATATAGAGTCATACACAATAGCAGTTAATATAAATCAATGCTTATAGTAGAGGGCTGAAAAGAACATGAAAGCTATTATTATAAAGTCACATTCCAGGGCTAATTTCCTAACTTCTCTATAAGAAGATGCTAGAAAGAGACAGGAAGAATTGTATAAGTGCATCTGTTCAATGTTTATGTCAAAACTGCCAAGTCTACAGGAAAACAAATCTGTTGCTTTGCAATTATGCTGAAGATGGGGTTTTTAGGACTTGTAAGAATTATATAACATGAGAGAAAGTGTCTCATTGGCAAGGGATATATGCCTGCTCTCAGGCCCCTTGCTCTAAACTCCAGTGATGCCAGTTGCTCAATGGATATCATCCTTAGAATACCAAGTTACTGTAAATTTGAACTCAAATGATCTGTTTAGACATAAATTTCTGAAAGTCTACAGATATTGATGCTTCAAACAGAAAATGCAGAAGTCAATTAGCAATCTGTCACTGCTGTTTTTGCTCAGGCTGTTTGTTTTCAAAAATGTCTTTATTAAAATGTTATACTTCCATTGAGATACGTACTGATAAAGGCAGATTTTTTTGTTAACTGTGACATTTTTCATTAAGAAAAATGAGTTAGCTTAGAAAGTTTCTTTAGTTAAAAGTATCCCAATTTTTTTCAATCCTGTGTAGTTTTTTAAAACATACTTGAGTTGTATCTAATATTAATAAATAGCAAATGTATGTAAGCAGAAAGTCTTCTTGATTTTTTTCATTTTGTTTATTCAGTAACCAGATCATTGCTAATATATAGTAAATGTTCAATTAATATGTACAACTTGTGTGCATGTTTATACAGTGAAATATGAATATAAAAGAAAAATATGCATTACATATGCACACCAATACATATCCAGACATATATGGCATATATATGTATATATGTATGTAGATAGGGACAATTAGAAGCCTGTTTGTGTACAGGTCCATAGTATGTAAACATACATAACTACATATAAATATGCATATATTTTAACATTCAACATCTGGAACATTCTAAGTAGCAAGAAAACATATTCCTTAAAGAAACTAAAGTCCGTAAGCCAGCTTAGAAATCTTTAACAGTCTTTAGAGTGAGGTACTAGAATGTCTATTCTAATATGAAAATTCTGAACACAAGGGATGATCTCCAAAAATTGGCTTTTTGCATACATACGTTTGCCAAGATTATTGTGTGAAATTTATCTTCTCCAGAATGTTCTCACTGCAGAAAGAGCTGGGGAACACCTCTGATGTAGTGGGTCACACTACTTCAAAGGTGGGTGTGTTCTTTTTGAATGAAAAGCCTCAACAGAGTCATTTAGGTAGGAATTCCTCACCATGTCTGTGTAACTGAAGCTCCCTTTTTCAACATTTCTATTAGCCGAGCAGTAAATAGAAGACGCTGCTGCTTTCTTCATCATTTTCTTCAAAGGATGTAGGAAAGAATCATTTCCTCCAGCTAGTCATTGTGCAAATAAACCTCAGACCCACAGAGGTGAAATGACAACCCCAAGAGCTCATGGCAAGTAAATAAATCTAAGTATATCCGGAATAACAAGTCTTCTTAGACTCTACTAGTCCCTTTGTCCTGTTCTTAGGCCAACATTCGCAAACAGTTCAGAAAACAATTGTAGATAGAGGATGGAGGGGGAAGGGTAGGAAGCGGTCTTTAGCAGATTCCCGGGCCCGGGGAATCACCTGCTCGCCGGGATCAAAACAGTGAAACGGTCTATTCATAAGGATTTCAAGGACGAGTGGGCCATTGTTTTTCTGAACCAGCTGTGAAGCATCAGCCCCTGGCTTTGGAACAGCTGCGCGTCCGCACGGGGGGCGGGGGACCGGAGTGGTGGAAGAGGAGTAAACCGGGGGAAAGGCTGCAGTGACCGGTCGCGCCACCTCTCGGTGAAGCAGGAAGAATTTTTGCAGTAAGTGCAAAGGACTGAACCACCTTTTGAACTGCAAGTGTGAATGGCTGGCGGCACAGCAGGCCCCAGAAGGGTGCTAGAGCTGCAAACCCTCAGCGGGCCACAGCCGGAGCCGCAGCTCAAGGGAAACCCGGAGTCACAGAGGGCAGAAGGTCCGCAGGCTCTGCTGCCTTGGCAAACCTTGACCGGGCAAAGTCCACGGTAAACAAGGCTCGCAACATCTGCCACCAGACGCGTGTGCCCCTTGCTCCCCGCGTTTCCCACGCACCCAGCCCAGCCCCAAGGTCCCAGATGCCCGCCTCGGCCCGCGCCCCCCGGGTTGGGGGGGGGAGGGGAGGGAGGCGGGTGGAGGGAGGGCTCCCACCGCCGGCGCGCCCCACTCACCATCTCTCGCCGCAGGAGATGAAGCTTGGTTTCCAGCCTCTCCAGGGCGCTGGAGCGGCTCTGTCGCGGGGAGCTGGAGGTTGGAGAGGACGAAGACGAGGATGACACGGAGGGAGGGAAACTGCAGCAGCTGCTACTGCTACTGCAGACGCCGCCGCCGCCGCCGCCGCCGCTCCCCACACTGGGGTCCCTGTCCTTTTCCAGGGGGGCTACCTCCTCCCCGCGGAGCGAACGCACTAGGCTCTCGGGGACTTTGCGCCCCAGTTTGAGTTCGATATCTCTGAGGTCTGGCAGCGGACCGTCTTCCATGACTTTTCCAGAACGATGACAACGGTGCGAAAAGGCAGTGGCGGACAGGCCTCCCCGGCTGCAGAGGTGGGGGGTTGGGGTGGGGGTCCGCGGCTCCCTCCCGGCTCTCTAGCCTCGGCAGGCGGACGGCAACGTCCACTCCATAGCCGCCCGCGCCCGATCACCCCCCCAAATCCGTCCTAGACTCTGCGGGGCTCAGCCGCAGCTCCCGGGGCGCAGCGACGCCTGGGGCTCTAGGATGAGGGTGATTGCTCTATCGATACTCTTCTTTTTTTTTTTTTTTTTTTTGGCTACCTTCTTGAAAAGTTAATTGTTAGTGCAGAGGGCAGAGGAGAGGAAGGGAGCAGGTACTGCAGACGAAAGGAAAAGGGCAATGAAGTCTGAAATGTAGCTTCGTGGGAAGAAAATTCGCATTCTAAACTGTTCGTCCAACACCCCTGCGCCATTCACTCACTGTCCATCTGGTACCAAGCGACACAAAAATAAGAGGTAGCCACACTCCAGGGTTGTTTCATTTTTCGGCCATCTGTCTTGCAGCTTTCCGAGTATCCTGGGTTGTCAAAAATAATCACTGGTTACCGAAAGAGGAAGTCGGATTGTGCATGGATGCATAAAAAAGAGATAGCAAGCGCAGCAGGACTGTAAAGTCTTCTTTGATGTCGCAGAAATACCCCTCTTCCCATTTAGGCAGTTAGATCCAAGTCATTGTGTTCCTCCCAGCCTCTGAAACTTTAAACTCCGCTGGCAGGTGGACCAAACCACGGCCAACCCTAGTACCGTATATCACAGACTATAAGAGTAAGAGGAATTTTCCTAATTCTGCTTCCAAGGGCCTTTTCGGAGTTTTGCTTCAGTTGAGAGACTAATACTAGTATTGGATATTCAGCTTCACCTAAGATATTGCCTGCTAGCTACATTCTTCTTAACAGCCAGAATTATAGGCAGATAAAGAACTTTAAATTTGATGTTATTTCCTACCTTTCATTACCTTTAGGTGAAAAAATTTAAAACTGGCATTGCCTACTAGTTTTATACTAATAAGCAAATATTTTCTCCAAATCTTTAATGATAATATGCAAGGAAAATCTTTACCAAAGATTACAATATGTCACTACAAACAGAAATGAAGATTTAAATTTCCAAAATAAGATATGACATTAACATAAGAGTAGTTTTTAATGAGGGAGTTGCTGAAATACTTTAAAAAGTGTCTTCATTGATAATTTATGTATTATATATTCATCTCTTACCAAGAAACACACTGAGTGTGATCTATCAAGATAATGCCACCAAGTAAGTTAATATGAATCACAATGTGGATTATAGGTTTGATTCATCATTCAATTAATCTTAATAATCTTCAAGTAGAGGTTACTATTTTCATTCCAGTAAACTGATTTGGGGGTTCTTTTGAAATAATTCCAAATATAAGTCCCTCTGTTACTCAAACAAATAAGTGATTGTGGTCTTGTCCTTCTATGGCTCAATTCCCAGAAACAGCACATTACATTACACTTGTAAACACATAGGCAGATATTTATCTGATTATCTGAGTCAGAATTTGATTTTGCTATAGCTTCATCTAAGCAAATTATTGACAGGAAACAGATCTTATGAATGAAATAGTATGTGTCAGGGAGAAAGTTTCTAAAGTTCTTTGATCTGTATGTTGGGAATTTGTTATTTCCCAGTTCTCAAAAGAAATTGGGAACTTGATTATAAATTGGTTGACCCATTTTTAAATTTGAGTAACAATATATGAAATCAAAGAGAAGCAGTACATTTCAACACAATGATAAAATAGCTTGTGTTGTCCTAAATTTGGAAAACCACAAGCTCAATGGATAAGAATTGCACTGTGACGTGTAATTGTGGAAAGCTTGCATTTAGTCAGGACCAGTTTTTTATTCTAAAACCCTAGCAGAGTTCATCATAGGACCTGCTGAGAAGAAGTTATAAGTGCGTATCTATGATGAACTTAATCTATTAAAAATAACTTGCTGTCAAATCACCACCAGTGTAACTACAAAACAAGACCATAACTTTTTCTGTAAAGCTGTAAAATTAGTATCACTGTATCACTGTCATCCAGTTGTTTGTCGATTTACTCAAGTGGGTGCCAGTGACGTCTCTATTCATCCCAGCCCTGAGATTTTAGCAGCCTCTCCTTACTCGTCTTTACCAACGATTGGAGGCTCTTTCAGGGTCAGGGAAATGAGACCTCTGTGCCAGGCTGTTTTCACTAGGGGTGCCCCAGAGGGGGGTGGGTGAGAGCCCTCCCCGCCCCAAGGGACCAAGCCTTGGCAGCCAACCTCCACTACCCAACCACCGCCACGCTCCAGGCTGCTTTCTGAACACATCATAAGACACTTCTTATCCATTTTCCATAATTAACACACCATGTTTGATGTGGTTCAGACTGTAGGCAACAAATCATAGAGAGAAATATATATATATATGTGTGTGTGTGTGTGTGTGTGTGTGTGTGTGTGTGTGTGTGTATAGACATATATATATATATGCCTCTCGGAGAGCCCAGCAAGCTACTGAGAGTATCCTGTCGGCACGGGCAGAGTCTGGCAAGCTCCCCATGGCGTATTCAATATGCCAGTACTAGTAAAATTAGTATAATACTAAAATAACTTCAAAATAAAATACATTTTCATGTGTTTTCAATGTCTTCAAGGGAAATTTTTCCAAATATAAAAATATGATCAATATGTCAATAAATTTTTTGTTTTAACATAAAACAAATGTAAAAGATACAAATGTTAAAGAAAATCCTAGTTTTCACTTAGCCCACACTCTGGTCTTTATGTTCTTATGTTTTATATCTATCTTCAATTTTTTTTTCGGGTCACACCTGGCGATGCTCAGGGGTTACTCCTGGATTTGCACTCAGGAATTACTCCTGGAGGTGCTCAGGGGACCATATAGGATGCTGGAAATTGAACCCAGGTCGGCCACATGCAAGGCAAATGCCCTACCCGCCGTGCTATTGCTCCAGCCCTTGTTTCCTTAAATAATTGTATGTATTAGCAACAAACTAAACTCAGGTTGTTTTCCCAAACCCAAAATGTTAAATAGTAAAATATAAAATATATTCCAATACATTTTTACATGGACTACCTTTATTATTTGCTTTCTTTTCTCACTGTTTCATGTATGAGCTGAATTCGCCTCTCCCCTTTATTTTGTTTACAATGCATTAAGAATGGGTATTATATCATAAATATAACTTTTAGAGACTGAGTTTCTCTCCCTCTGTTTGGATTATTTTCACAGAAAAGGAAAGAGATCCTCTTAGTTATCATTTAAAATAGAAATCAGTGGCTAATTAAGTAGGACATTATTGGACTCAGATGACAAGTTTTTTAAGAATGCCTCAGTCACAAAACTAAGAGATGCAAATCACACTTTAAGCATTCTGCACTTATACTTTCTAGTATGAAGCACAGAAGTTATAGGAAAAGTAGACGAAGCAAGACTTTGTATGGAGTGAGTAATGCCACTCCTTAATCTGCTGCTGACATTGTGAATAAAAGAAAAAAGGCTTTCTACCTTCCCTCTGGCGATGACTGAAAGCTTGAAGCATCCCCATCTCTTACTGGCATAGAGTTCAAGGACTAGATCAAAATCTCTAACCCGAGAATCACCACAGTGCAGAATATGATTAAGCATCTAATAGCATCAAAGGTTCCTTAAAATTTTTAGGAAATAAGTGTGCAATGAGCTTAACATTCTTTGAATTTTTGTTTTATATGTGAAGTGATGTTTCTATGAACAATTTTGTTCAGCTGATGATGTGCATAATAAGGAAGGTGTCTTAGCAAAGCAAAGAATGATGGTCTTATACATACGAGGGGAAATTTTATATCCATTAAAACTATTAAGATTTTACTCTACTTGTTTACAGGGGCACTTAATTCGCCTGTATTTTTATAGCTGAATTAGATCTATTTGACCAAGTCAATTATCTTGTTCATTAATAACTTGATTGACATTCATATTTTATGTCATATATATTCCTTTATCTATTTGAAGTATTTCTCGATAGGTAGAACAAACCCTTTATGTATGCTGATTGGAATCTAATTAATATTTATAATCAGAGCTAGATGCTTTCCTGAGAGGTTTAGAAGATGATACTAAAATTAGGTCACCAGCTTCTAAGTCAGTGTTATCTCTGGTTGACAATCCCTGTCAAATCTTCCTGACTTCATTATTTGCAGGAGTCATTTGTTTGCATTATTTTGCTCCCTAAACTCTTTAATTCCTACTGTAAGGTGTAATACCAGGACCCATACGAAGGGATTTGTTCAACTGTTTCTCTGTAGCCTACCCAGTTGGACTTAATAGAATAGAACTATAGATTATTTTTTCAATGCTTTGCTGGTAAATATTTAAACAGCTTTGGAAAATGCATGAATAACTCATCTGTGTCTTTAGAAAACTTTTATAATGTAAATAGTACTACAATGATTGATTGATTGGTTCCAAGTCTCTGATGGAGTTGGGAGAATATGAGAAGTAGTAAAGCTTTAAATATTGTATTTCTACTATGTAGATGAATGAGATATAATCATAAGGGTATAGATAGAAAACTGCAATCAAAGAATAATAAATTGAATGTTTTCATTACAATGTCTTTGTTTTGGTGTAACTTTCATAATTTAAAGCTTTTATAATGTAGTTTAAAAATAGTAACAGTCACAACTGACTTGCAGAATTTTCTTAAATATTTAATAACTGGCTCCTACTACAATTAGTATGGGCTGACTCCAATGCACCTCTGTTTTCTAAAGTATTAGAGGACGGTCAGCCAGGATAGTTAAAACAGGGAATAGAAACTCAAACCTTGTAAAGGCAGTACAGTTTAAATTCCAGAGGTTAGACAAAGTGATAATTGAGGAAGTAAGTCCTGAAGTTAGAAGAAGGAAGATTAGGTAAGTTTTGTTAGGTAACTGTGTTGGTTTCCAAGGGCTGCCATAACAAAGCACCACAAATTGTGTTTCTCAAAACAATAGCAGTTCAGGGCCAAAGAGATATTACAAAGGTTAGGGTGATTTTCTAGCAGGAAGCTGTGATTAAGATCCTGGTTTGAATCCCAGGTGTGACCTCTGAGCACTAAGCCAGGTGTGGTTCCCCCCAAAACAGAACAGAAACAAAACCATATCAGTTGTTCATTATCCTATAGTTCTAGAGACTGGAAGTACAAAATTAAGATGTTGAGAGGTTGTGTTCCCGTGGAATTATCCTACATTCTTTCTTGCCTCTTAAAGTTCTGGGAGTCCTGTGCATTCTGTGATTGGTGGTGGCATAACTCCAGTCTCTGCCTCCATCCTCACGTGATTGCTTTTCGGTCTTCTCTATGACTAAATTTATGCTTTGTTTTGTTTTGTTTTTCTTTTTTGGGTCACACCCAGCAATGCTCAGGAATTACCCCTGGCAGTGCTTGGGGGACCATATTGGATGCCAGGGATTGAACCCAGGTCAGCCACGTGCAAGGCAAACACTATCCTATTGCTACCCAGTATCCTATCGCTCCTGCCCTAAATTTATGTTTTAAGGAACACCAGACATATTGAATTAAGGGCTCACCCTAGCCTAGTGTCTCTTAGCAACTTCAAACTGCAGTAACTTCATTCCCAAATAAGATCACAATCTGAAGGAACAGGATTAGTTTGGATGTCAACATATCAGTTTGG